CTGTGAGGAGAGGCTGAGGGAGCTGGGCTTGTTCAGCCTGGAGAAGAGAAGGCTGAGAGGGGACCTTCGAAATGGCTCTAAATATCTGCAGGGTGGGGGTCAGGAGGACGGGGCCAGACTCTTTGCAGTGGTGCCCAGCGACAGGACAAGGGGCAACGGGCACAAACTGAAGCCTGGGAAGTTCCAGCTGAACCCGAGGAAGAACTTCGTCAATTCTATCAAAATATTAAAAATAGCACAAGAGCAGAATGTTAAGTACAGTCTCCTGAGATCTCCCTCCTTTGATTCAGAACCCTAAGATCTGGATATTCATCCTTCTCTTTGATCCAGAGTAGGAAACAGCCTGTTTTCTAAAAAACAATCAATGGTGTTGGACTAGATGACCCACAGAGGTCCCTTCCAACCCCTACTATTCTGTGATATTCTGTGATATTCTGTGACACGTGGAGACGTCCCCTGCCCCAAACCACACACCCCAGAGACGGGGGAAAAACCAGGATCCCTGGGCTTTGTGGGGAACAGGCTCCATTTTCCAAACCCCCAGCGTGACCGCGGGCTCAACGCTTCCCAAAAGATCCCAAAACCTCCCAAAAAAGCCAACAAAAACCCCACCTCTCCCTTCGTCTTTAGGCTGGGAGCAGCTGGAGGTCTCCCAGAAGCTGACCCAGAGCATCCCAAATTCCCGTAGCGTCCTCCCGCCGTGCCCACACAGGTATGGGGCAGAGCAGATGCTTCCAGTGGGATTTTCCCCGCTGCCGTCCGCCCCCCCCCACGTCGGCCATGGAAAGGGTCCCCAGATGGATGGGTGCGTGGCCAGCCGGTGGGGACACCGGTGGGAGGGAAGGGACTCGGCCAAGCCACGAAACGCGCCGATTTAGGGAATAAAACCAGTCTCTGGCTGCTCCAGGAGGGAATTTCCCAGGAAATATTGAGAATCCAACGGGCCTGGGACCGCTCACCCCAAAGCCTGACCCCCCCTGTCCCCTCCGTTGCTGCGTGCGTGGATGGGTGGCCCGTCCTTAGGGCCACCTCGGGGCTCCGGGACCGCGGTTC